CCCTTTTGTCAGCTTGTGTGATATCCTGGCAGTGACTCCACTGCTCGGATGTTTTTATTTTATTACTGTAAAACCCTGATGCCTGTAAATGCTTCTGTACTGGAGTGGATTTAGTAGTCTTTACACTTGGAACCTGTTCGTTATCATGTTCTTGTTGTTATGTTGGCTCTTAAGAGGGGGGTCCTTGTTCTCTTGCAGATGTCTTATACCATAGAATGTGAAAGAGACAAATTCCCCTGCAAGATGGGAGGGATGAGACATGAAATAACCAGAACAGAACAGTGAGAAGGGTTCTGGGCAACATTAAAAGGAGATTTGAAAAACGGGTTTCATGTAAATGCGTCTGGTCCCCGTTAACAACTGTTTTTCAGCACCTGACTTGACATCTAGTTCATTAATGAAAATGAACGTGGATTAATGCCAGAGCTCTTCACAGGGATGAATTTAAGAGAGTCCCTTTTGATCCAGACTTTGTTTTTTCAGCCTGCCCTTCTCTCTTTAGCGGTCAGTTTGCTTTTAGCAGTCTTGCTGTAATTACAGATATGAATGGGAGAGAAAGAGAAGGCGTCTACTAGGTTTTTCCTGTGCTCCTGCTTAAGCAGCAGTGATATTAGAACAATCTCTAGCTCCTCAAGGAGTGGCCCTGTCAACTTGCTGAAATGATGGAATGGTAGTTAGGTTATTAGAAGGAAAATTGGCACAAATTGGGAGAGAGGATGCTCTGGCAGCAACCACAAGCAGGCAGCGACTTAGTGGCTTAATCTCTGCCCTAGGGCTGCACTCTACAATATAGATGACACCTTGTCAGTGAAGATGATGTGCTGGGTCACCCCTGAGTCCACTGGGCTAAATTGGCCATGGAGGGAAGGATTGCTGCAGTATAGAGACAGCAAACCACATAATCTAAATGTTTTTTTTTTCTTTTTTTTAAATCTATGTTATCATTTGAGTACTGACAGTAATTCTCAAGGGATCCCATTCTCATTAGTGTCCCCTAGACACAGCTATCTCTGTAAGCTCATGCTTTCAAGAAATAAAGAAATAGTCCTAAGCTTTTGTAAGAATTGCTTTGCTTCCCCTTGCACAGTTTCATGCATGGTTTCTCTTTTGTCTTGTCTTGTCTTCTTCTTGGGTACATCGAGGGGGGAGATGGGGGGAAGGAAGGAGCCACTTCCTTTGAGAGTTGCTGTGCAGACAAAGAGAAGTAAAAGAAACTTATGTTGACCCAATAAGCTCTCTGACAACTGAACCGTCTGGGAGATGTCCTAGGTTCCTCAGTGTAACTGCAGGGTATCAGATCCATAAAATCTATAAAATTAGGGCGTTTTTTTCTATTATTTTCACAGAATCATAGATTCACAGAATCTAGTGGAAGGTGTTCCTACCCGTGCAGGGGAGTTGGAACTCAATGATCTTTAAGCTTTCTTCCAACTCAAAAAATTCTGTGATTCTGTAATTCTGTGATTCTGTGATGGTTTGGGATACATGTTGGCAGCTCAGTGAAACCACTTGAGGTAGAAAAGGTTTATTAAAAAAACAAAGTCTGCATTACACTTGCTTTTTTCCTAAATCTACAGGAGTCAGTGGATTGGCAGAGCTGTCCACAGATGGTGGAATTTGGTCCAGAGAAGTTTTAATGATTTACCCAAGTTAATTCAGGCAGCGCGTGGCAAGACCTGTCCCCTGGAGCTTTGCATCACAGCATAGTGTAGCCTACACCTGGAGTCAGAGCCTTTAACCATTTTTATCCAATAAACCATCCTTATCCAATAAAGCACTTAAGGAATATGATCAAAGTAATTCAGCTTCAGTTCCACCAAAGTAAAGAAAGGGCTTAATAATTCTGTGGTATTAGAAGAGATCTTGGCTTGTGCCTAAACCTTTAGCTCAAAGCAGGAGCTTGATGCTAATGGGGTCATTAACCTGAGAAAACATTTGGAATTGTTTGGTTTTGTGGTGTCCTAAAAATTGGCTTGTTAGCAATGGAAATTGTGGTGCTCTTGGTGGTAGAGGTGATTTTACTAAAGGAAAAAGCAAAGGAATAAACTTGCTATTTGTTATTAAATATGACCTTTGCTGTAATTTTCAGCTGAAGTAGCAGCTGTGTATGGATTTCTTAAAGAAGTGACCCAACAGAGAGAATAGATGAAGGACATAATTTAAAAATGAACACAGTTCATTTTTTAATGTAAACAACATGGAGAATAAATAAAGTGAAAGAATAAGCCAGTTTCTGAAAGTAAGTAGTTGACAGAGTCTAGGACAAAGATGGGAGCTGCACAGCTGAGCTTCTACCTTTTCTTTTCTCCAGGTCCAAAATATAAAATAATATGTAAGCATTTTCCTTACTTATTTTAAGCTATAGGTTGGGGACTTTTCAACCTCCGTACTAGGGATGTTGTTTAACAGGTTGTGTTTTACATAAAGAACAGGAATTGGAAAAAAAACACAAAGTGACTTTCTAGAGGTATAAATGCCATGTAGGTGCCTACTGATCCATGGAAATCTTGAAAGTTGTTCCCATAGAGTATAATTCAAGTGAATCAGTCAAGTTTTCTGTTTCTTGGAGATTTTTTGGAAGGCGCTTCTTTGGTTTGGCTTAAGGTTACGTATGTATTGGAAAAATGCATATTCTAAGGCCTAGAGAAGTTGTCATTTCTTCAGATGTACTTGTGAACTGTAGACCATCTTCAAAATTAAGAGCCTATGGAAGACAAGAGAGGGTATTTGTGCATGAAACAGGACATAAAAAGGTGGACCAAAAATTTAGTCTCTACTCTTACTCAGGCAAGACTCCCACTACAATCAATAGGAATTTTTACTAATAAATGAGTGTAATAAAACCTGTTGTCTGCTGGTCTGTGTTGAAGACACTTCACGAGTGATGATCAAACTGCTTGTTGTTGGTTTAAAGCGTGCCTTTAATAAAACTTTCACCTTCTTGCCATTAGCAGGGAAAGTGCTAATGTTAATATGGGCATATTAATATGTTCGGGTGAATTGTGCTTTCAGAGAGATGAAACACATGAAACTACATAATTTGTCATTGCACAGGTTATAGCTGTGAGACAGGGGAATTACACAGGGTCACTTTTTTCTTACTTTTCATAGTTTATTACTTTTTTTTCACATGTGAAATATGATTTTTGTCTGGTTGTGCAGATTTTGTACTCTTCCCAGTCCTCCTGTGGGCATTCTCTCCAGAACAATCATCAAACAGAGAAATTGTAATTAAAGCCAAGTTTTTTTGGAAGTAGCAGGTGGCTCGGAGATGCCTGAATTCTGCAATGATCAGCTTTCAACATTGCTGAACACAGGCCATTTCCCCCCTTTCCCCAGTGGAAAGATGGGGGAATGCTCTAAAAGTCATGTCTCATTAGTGTTCTTTCTTGAAACTGAAGCATCCAAAAATTATCACTAACGGAATCTCTAGCCAAGTAATTAGTTGAAATTACTGTCCTTAATTATAAAAAATCATACGAGAGGGTTTTTTGCATTTTCACTTTTTGGTTACATTTTTACATTTTTTGTTGAAAGAATCACAGAATTTCTTGAGTTGGAAGGGACCTTAAAGATCAAGTTCCAACTTCCCTGCTTGGGCAGGGACACCTTCCACTAGAACAGGCTGCTCAGAGCCCCATCCATCCTGCTCTTGAACTCCCTGTGGAGCACCCACAACATCTCTAGGCAGCCTGTTTCAGTGTCTCACCACCCTTACACAAAGAATTTATGCCTGATCTCTAAGCTAAATCTCTCTTCTTTCAGCTTAAAACCATTACCTGTTGTCCTCTCACTGCAAGCCTCTGTAAAAAGCCCCTCCCTAGCTTTCCTGTAGTCCCTTCAGGTACTGGGAGGTCACTATGAGGTCCCCCCAGAGCCTTCTCTTCTTCAGGCTGAACAGCCCCAACTCCCTCAGCCTGTCCTTATCAGAGAGATGCTCCAGCCCTGGGATCATTTTCATGGCCCTTCTCTGGACACATTTCAACAGACCCACATCTTTCTTGTGCTGGGGGCACCAGAGCTGGACACAGTTTTCAGTATTGTATTCAGTATTGTTCAGTACTTAAAATTATTTGTTTTAGGAAAAGTACAGCTCTTACTATATAATGTGTCATTTGTATCACAGAGTAGGCTATTTTTTGTTACGAGTTCTTTTCCCTTGCAAAAGTGTGTGGTTGTTTTGAATAGAGATGCGCATCTGGAGATCAGACAGGAGAACAATTTACAGGGTGTGAAAAATTTCAAAAATTTGGTTTTCTTTTGCAGGGAGAAGAACTTTTTTGAAGCAGCATTTTAATTTTCCCAAGTTGTCAATTTTGCCACTCTTTTTGAATGCTGGTTTGTTTTCTTGTTGTTGTTGTTGTTTTTTATGCCAGGGTGCAAAAAACTTTTCACTGCAGCTTTCCAGACTACTTTTGGTTTTTAAAGAACGTAGGCAGCTAATCAGCAGCAACCAGCCACATAGCTGGAGTGTTTTCCATTCTAGGCAATATCATACTAATTTGATGCACACATGGATGCTCCACACAATCTGCAAATTCATCGTTGGCATCTTGCATTAGTCATCTGACAGATTGCCAAGTGTTTCATATTCCTTTCATGTGACTTTATTACAAAACACACACACACACGCACTGCCTTGTTTCTGCCAGTAGCCAGTTCAGTGAGAATTCACTGCAGTTCTGTTTACAACAGCCATGGAGAGAAATCTGCACTTATTTTCAACTATCCTCTGCTTTAAAATGCACAAGTCCTGGTTTGCGTGGGGCTGCTCTCTTCTTATATAGTAATATTAAACAGCAGCCTGCAGAGAAAACCAGACTCAATGAAAAATGTAATGCATTGGTTTTGTTCATAATACTTATGCTATTAATTAAATACTGATTTTTATTTTTTTCCTGTTTTGTGCCAATTGACATCATCTTCTGCATCTAGAGCACATGAAAACTGCGTAGTCTCCTAACTTGCCTTCTCCTTTTAATCTCCTTTTCCACTTCTAGTAACGGCACAGCTAACAAGATGAATGGAGCTTTGGATCATTCAGACCAACCAGACCCAGATGCCATTAAGATGTTTGTTGGACAGATTCCCCGTTCATGGTCAGAAAAAGAGTTAAAAGAACTTTTTGAGCCTTATGGAGCTGTCTACCAGATTAACGTTCTCCGAGACAGAAGTCAGAACCCTCCCCAAAGTAAAGGTACAGTAGTTGTGCTCTCTTTCCTTTCAGTTTGTTGTTTTTTTTTCTGGTGATCTTGCTTGCCTTTAGGATTTCCAAAGAGGTTTGCATCTGAGCTGTGTGTTTAGAAGCACACTGTGTTGAGTTATGCAGCAGTCCTAAGAGGAGAGGACTCCTGAACACCTATTGATAACTGTCTTCCTCCTCTTCTTAAATTGCAGTTTAAATGTCTGTTATCTGGAAGCATGTGTTCCAACTGTGCAAAAAATAACAAAAGATTGCTGTCCTTGTTGAAATCATTATTGGCAAGAAACATGGAAACCTAAGTGGTCACTTTCCCAGGATTATCTCATGAAGAAAATAGAATTTTCTACCTCCTTTTGTTTCCTCTCTTTGCACCCCAGGTGGGAATAATTTTAAGGATAGGAAAAGGGAGAAATTATAGCAGTGGGCTCTTGCTACGTCATTGCTCCAGAGGCAATAAAAATTACAACATTTTTTCCAAAATCTGATTTATTTTCTGTAGTTGTATTAAAGGATTTTTGGAACTGGTATTTTTCTAAAATAAAGGGTTGCTTTTCCTTCCTACTTTTTTTTTATACACAAGTAAAGTATTTGTCCTTAACTAGGTTGCTTTCTTTCACTGTATGTTTAGGCATGTGAGAATTCTGTGTATAATAGCTATGCTGTATGCTTACATGTAGACTGAAAGTGAGTATTTGGTTTCACAGAAATCATGTTTCTCCCTAAACAGCTGTATATTTTCATTGACACTTCATGTTCCATGTGTGAAACTGTTGCTAATGGTACAACTAATTAGTGCAGCTCAGAGGCATAACTGGATATGCATGTGTGCCTGGCTATAAGGTTACCAGATAGTTATTTATTCTTACTGCGCTCCTGCCACTGCTTCTAAAAATCTTTAAAGCTCACGTGCTATGGACAAGATCATAAAATGATTTTGTGGGCTGGCGATTGACTAACGGTGCAAAACAGCACTCGCTTGAGATTTCCAGTTCAGTGAGAGGTGAGCGCGGCTGCGGGCGGCACTCAGCACAGCTTCGGGTGCTCCTCTGCACGGCACTGCTGAGGCTCAGCAGTTCCTCCTTGCCTGGGTGTGGGGCAGAGGATCCTCTTAATGGCCTCTTCTTTGCTGCCCCCAGTTAAACAGTCTTGTGCTTTGAATAGTATCCTTTTGGGTTGCTCATGTGTATCACTCCTGGCTAAAAGACCTGGTGGATTGGTGTCACACCAATGACAGGGAGGGGGTCCAACTCACCATGCTTTGCCTACTAATCATGTCCTTATATTAGATTGCTCATTCCTTTCAGAAGCAGAGGGGATTTTTTGTTGGAGTGTTTCAGTGTACTGCTTCCTGCTCCCTTTGTTCCCAAGGACCAATGTGCTGTAGCGTGTAGCCCCTGCTACATTACCACAGAGCCCCTCAACAAGTCTCTTTTGCTTGTAGTGCTGGATAGAAGACAGCATTGAGGGGTCAAGCAACTGGATTTTCTGCAGTCCAGGCTGCTATGGATGAGCAAACTCCTACATAGTTTAAACCACTCAAATGATGACCTTTGAGACTCGTCCACTTAGAACGAACTGATTCCGGGGCCACTGAAATGTCTTCCCACTAAGCAGTAAATTAAGTGAGAATGATACTGTGGATAAATTCCCATTTCTATAGTGTTTCCCATTTTATTGTACCTGTCTGCCAGGCAGCTGGAAGGCATGAGAATTAAGCACAGGTCATGCAAATTGATGTAGACTAATCATGAAGGCTTGTAGTCCTCATATTCAATATTCTTTTTGAAAGGTGGTTGGATTTGGGTTGGGTTTTTTTTTTTGGCTTGAACTCGTTTCAGCAATGCCAAGATGATGCTTTTATGTCATTTCAGGCATTTTATGTTTTAATGAGTAAATGAAATTTATCCTCAAGAAAGACAGAATAACCTTCAGACTTAGATATCCCTGACACAGCAGCAAGGTCCTCTGGTGATCAGCTTTTCTCTTGGAAGCTTTGGAGGACTCTATCTCCATTCTGGTTCTATCCTTCCTCCTGGCTGAATCTGCCAGCAAGGTTGCTAGATACAGAAAACTCTTGAGTTTCTTGTAAATATCTCTTGACTAGGAATGGTCTTTATTTTCTTAATCCAGTAGCATAAAGGATTCTGTGTGAGAGATTGTTAAGAATGTTAGAAACAAACAAATTGACCTGAAAAGTGTCTGATAGTCTTCTTGTCATGAGAAATACTTTACCTGTGCTAATTGGCATTTAGTAATGAAGCAGAGTTTTGACTTTTTGTTTGGAGGTGAGGTCAAATTCTGTGGTCTCCTGCTGTGTAAAAACACCCACACAGAACAACCATTTTCATTTTATTTGAGTTGGGTGAGTTGGGGTTCTACCAGGCATTTTCCTGCCCGCTGCCTCTCTGCACCACCTCCAGCTTTGCACAATGGTGCATCAAGGGGACCTTGTGGTTGGGTAGTGCTGGAAAAAGACCACTTTTCATTTCATTGCGTGGTCATGGCTCAGTGTCAGGCAGAGCATTCACAGGCTGATGTCACCCAGAAATATTCTCTGAATATTCTGCAAGCCATGAATTACAATTACAAAAATGCAAGTTAGTACCGCTACACCATGTGGGGGGGTGGCATTTTGTTCTTTGAAGTGAAAGGCATTTTGATTTTTGAAAGATTTCTCTCTTACCAGACAAGGGCTGTGTGTGTATTTCTCTTAGCTTGGCCAAAGGGGCTTCTCCAATTTGGACAGAATTTTTCTCTGATGAACTGTTTATGAAGCTGCAATCTGAGTCTCTCCCAGTTCTGTCAAAAATAACCATGGGCTGCTTCTCTCTCTCTCTTGCTATTATTAAGACTGTCTTTCATACCCTCCAACGACAGACGGCCTAGTTCATGTCTTTCCTCCTTTTCTGTATTGCTTGCCAGTTCTGCAAAGCTGAAGCTGGATGACAAGGAGGAAGACAAGTAGAAAGCCAAGTTTTACTCACTTTGGAAGACTAGAAAAAAGTAATCTTGCTCCCACATATATAGTGCTGCTGGTGCAAATGTTGAAGCTTGGCATTATTAACTGAGAATTACAGGAATGGCTACATTTCAGTGACTGATAGTTAAAATATTCTCTGTCGGTAGCAAACTCCCTGGGCTTTCCAGAGTTTGCAGATCTCCAGTTCTTTTTGGATGTGTGAAAGAGCTCAGCAAAGTAATTTGACTTTGTGTTTATCCCCAGTTGTTTTGTAAAGCTTTTTCCTCTTTCTGCAACATGAGAAATCCGGGGGATTAGGTAAACTACGTACAAAAAAAAAAAAAAAAGGAAATCCTGTAACTGAAATTAATGTCACTTTCAGCTTCTGAGGGCTAAGGGGATTCAAAGTCTAGGCAGATCAGCCCTCTCTGCTCCCAATCCAGCTTGCTGCCTTTATATAATTTATTCTGGGTGGATAGATGACTTTTTTTCAGAGTGGTCATTAAAGACAGCTTCTGTAATACCTCAAAAACAGCAGGCTCCATGCGAAGGCAGTATGCAGTGCTACCAAGATCTCTCTTCCTGCCTAAGCTGGAAGGATTTCCTTGGCTGCTCTTGTTTCGTAGTCCCAAGTGCTAAAGCAAGCAGATGGTACAGGGGTACTTTTGCCCACTGAAATGCAGCAGAAGAGCCTTGGGCCAGATCCACAATGTCCTTTTGATACTTTGCCTCTGTTTCGATACCAGATAATTCTTGTATGGATCAAGGGTCCCCTAACCCAGCTTTGTGAGCCTGAGCCTGCTTGTGCCTCCATAGGAATCACATTGCAGAAAGCATGGGAGAGGTGCCTGGGTAACAACTAACTCCGTGTTTGCTTGTAGCTGTTTCCAGCCCTTTATCAGATTAGAGGGAAGCTGCTGAGTGAACAAGGATGTGCTGTAGTTAAAGGCCAGTGTTTATTATTATCCTATTTAACATAGTAATTTAAGTCTACCGGGAAGCAAGCAGAGGAATCTGATAATGAGGCATTCATCTGCTGCATACAGGAGAGACTGGATGGGCAAGGAAGAAATTATGTGGCTTCTTTGGGTACCATTTCAGCTGCAGATACGCCCTTCAAAAAATACTCTTGTTCAAGTAGGAGGAACAGTTCCTCCATTCGATCCCCACTCACAGTGCTTTGTTTTCTGTGGTAAGATAAAAGGGAACTTGGGCAGTCCTGCTCTGGAGCAGACCTGTGGCACCCTGCTCATCATACACACCCATCCTGACCGTGCTAGTAAGCAGCAGAGGTGTTAACCAACTTCATTTCCTGCCATTGCACCACTACTCACTCCTGCCCTCAAAGCAATTTCAATGCATTGTGGTTTGCAAAACTATTTTAGGTGCTTTTTAAAAGCTCTCTTCAGCCAGCTCTCCAGGAGTCAGGGCTTTTCCCCACATTTTGACTAATTTTGTGGTTTGGATGCTCTCACAGGTCCACACAAACATTGAGCATTTGAGATCTGATGAGTTGTGTTATGAGCACATATGCTGTCAAAACTGAAGGACTTGGGACCACAGTCATTATGCATGTGTGTTTTAGACTACCCTTTAGTGACTATGGATAAGAGATCTTCTGTTACAATTGTAAACTTGAAATCTTTCATGCACTGAATGAAAAGGTGCCTAGCATTTACTTTTTTTTAGCAGGTGCTTTGTGCACCCTGAAAAGGTTCACACAGTGAAGACTGGCAAAAGCCAGATGTTGCTGCTAGATACAAGAACAATGAGGAGGGAAAGTGATTTATAAAGTTGAGGTTTTAACCAAATTTCAGTCTCTGACTTTAGAATGTTTCAATTTAAACCTTAAATAACCTTAATTCTGGAATTTGTTATGGATTATAAGTAGCATTAGAAAATATATTCTAGATGTGAGCTGATTTTTATAAAAGGTAATTCTTATTCGACAAATCTGCTGGAGTTTTTCAAGAGGTTTCTCTGAAAGTGGACAGGTGTGAAATGGTGTGTATAATCAAGCTGGATTTCCCAGGGG